ATTCTCAACTGTTATATGAGTTTTATAACATGATAATCATGAGACCATGGAGGGAAGCCTCACAGACTAAAACACACATCAAGTAGGTGGTTGAGATGAATATGGCCACCCTTCCCATATGTGTCTGCTGGAATTTCCTTGATCTTTGAAGAGAAGACATGAGTGTAAGAAGTGAAAGTACTAATTTGGTTAAAAGAATCCTAAGGAACCAAGAGACACAGTTTTCACTTGTACAGTATAAGAAAAGTAAGGACCTAACATATGTAAATGAACTCAAAAAGCCATGTTTGTCCTCCTGTTTCTAGGCGGCCACTGCAAGTCACTTTGTACCTTAAATAAGGAGTGAAGTGTGATGAATACATTTATGAACATCCTCATTTAAAAACAAATTGCACCACACTTTCAGGATTCTAAATTGAAAAGTTAGTAGCAAAGAGAGCTGCTCCAAAATCTATACTCTATAAAATCCACATAGCTCATGAGGAGAATGATAAAACTATAGATCATGGGTCTATTATGCTCCAAAGAAAGGTTTGAGCCTCTGCATTCATAAGGCCCTCTTGGAATAAAGGCATAAACATAGGAATAGAATGCCATAGCTACACTGCCTCATCCTGCTACCATATATTTGTAAATAAGATTTATAATAATAGAATATCATCAGCAAAATTTCATGAAAAGTATTGCTATTACTAATGTTCAGATTTTAAAAACCTGAATTCTTTGGCAAATGGTAGGATGTGCATATTTCTGATAAAGAGAAGATGAGGCAAGACTTGGATCAAGAAACCTCCTCCATCATGTAGTGGAATTACCTATGGTGACACTTATTTGATGTCATACATATTTGACATCATCTAAGAGTATGTCTTTAAGAGACTTTATCAAAGCTTTTCTTCTCACTATGAGTTAGTGTTCACAGATAACACAGATGTGCACAAAAACACTATAGATTTATACCCAATAATCAATGTTGATATGTTGATGTAGAAATTGCAAATCCTAAAAAACATTTTTTATAAGTCTTCTTCCTGCATGCTTTCACTATCAGATCAGCAAGTGTGGGATAGATTTATTCATAATATTTTGACATAAGACAGAATTAAACTCCAAAATGGGTGTACTTACAGAAATCTAACAAATGTAAACTAAGTGTGTGGATAATGTACTAGAAAGGAGGTTTACCTTGCTGGTCTGTCACATACTGAACTGGCCTCAAAATTAAAACAACACTTTCTCTATTGAGTTCTCTATAAGTAATCAAATACCAGAAGTCCAAGACAAGCAGAAAAAAATGTTTTAAATATTTCTATCTGATGTCCTCCACTCTGAAATATTTTTTAAAAGCTTATTTGTCTTTTTAATCATGAAACTCACCTCACCTAATAATCATGTCAGTTATCCAATATTTTTTTCATGCTACCCTTTAAAAAATAAGTACAGTAAAATTGGAGGATACAGTTAAAATATAAAAATAGAGAATATAGTTACCTGGGTTTACATTATTTCAAAAGTGAAAAGATATTTGTGGACTCAAGTTTTAATTCTGATAAATTGATTAGTTCGATATCCTCATTCATAATATGAACTGTAAGAGTAATAACTAGCATTTATTAAGAACATGATATATGCCAAGTATTGTTTGAAAACTTTTGCATGTGTAATATCACTTAATTCTCATCATAACTCTGTGAGTGTGTATCTGAAATAACTTATTTTTTAAATGCCTACTTTTTTTTTCATTTTGTACTGTTTTATTCACTTATATCACAAACATTTTTCATCTTTCTACATAGTAAAATGGATACTTTTTACACCCATTTTACCCATGAGAAAATGAGGCATGGTTTACTAAAAGTCACAGCCAAGGCAGGCTGGTTTCAGAGCAGATGCCCCCAACTGCATGAATGAAAGACAGGGCTTTGTGAGGTTTGGGGTCCTTCCTTACTGGTGCAAAATTATTTTTTAAAGTTATTCTGCTATTTTATTCTCTAAAAATTTGGAGGGGGGTGTCTTAAGAAGTTAGTGTTTCTCTTAGCAGGTTTTTAGACTATCTGAGGATTCCAAAACTATAGCTTGATGTATTCACAAACCAGAATCCATTTGGAAGGAACATGAGAACTTTAGCCCTCTGCAAATCCTTGCTTTGAGAGCTCCCACATTTATAAATAAGCATGCACCAGAATTCAGCATGTCTTTCAAGTTGGTCTGTTGAAAACACAGGTATGTAATGCAGTCAGACTTTATTTGGGCCATCCTTTGCTGATCAGATACAATGGCAATGAAAGATCTGAAGGCATAAACTTGGCAGCAACTTCAAAATATCCAGTTGGTCCCAGAACATTAGCATGCTCATTATGTGCATTTATTGTGCCTGGGCACCCTGTTGTCCAAATCTATCCGGGGTCTTCAATCAAGAGGAAGTATTGATAAGAACACTGCTCATATGACATGACTGGGGACCATACAAAGTGACATGACCTGAGGTGATGAAGAGAACACTTACATTCATGGTTGCTGAAGCAATCTTCCAAAGCAGCAGAAGGGTACCCATTCCTGGCTCCATAATGCAAAGACTCAGAGCCTGCTTTTAAGTATCTACTTTGTTTTATATTTAGATTAACAGTTTAACCTTTATATAATGCCTGTATTTACAGAAAATACATGGAACTAATAGCTGAACAATACACAAGTGTCCTAAATGTAGGAAATTCTCAATTTACACTGTTGTATTGTATCCAGAGAGTAATTCCATAATTTCTTACATGAATTTTTAATTGACCTAGATGTTAAGAAATGTCTTACAATTTCTAAAAATAGTTTCCCTTCATGAAATAGGAATCACAGTTTATTTTCTTCAGAGAGAATTCCATGTATATTGACTTAAATTTTTCACGCAAAATTGTATATTCAACACTAAAAACCAAACTGTACATAATTTGATCTTTCTTTGAGGATTAAGAAGGTTATTTTGAGATCTCCCTGAAGCTCAAGAATTTCATTATGATTTCAACTTGTATTGCATTAAAAAAAGTAAACATAGCAGCTGGCAGATTATCTGAGAATAGTGTGCCAATGGGCAATGTCTGTCCTCGCAGTTTGGGGACGGGATTCCTCAAGGGATCACTTTACTTTAGGAGTGAAAAATGAAGACAATATGAATTTGATCACTTTAGGCAGTCAAGCCAAAAACAAGGAGAGTTTTTTCTTAATATTACCATCACTTGCCTCGTATACACTATAAAAATATACTCAGAAAAGATCAAAGCCAACCTGAATTTTAAATCTCATGGTGGTAATCTGGCATAAGACAGGGTTTCTCTTTAGGCTTATAAATGAGATTTTTTTTTTCTCCTTAAAAAGAAAAATCATTATTGTCTTTTAGGAAAGAGATAAAGGCAAAAGACATAAAGTAATGAGCTTAAATGAATTTTCATTTGTAAAAAAAAAAATAGGTCAATGGAATTACTGTAGAACTAGTTATGCGAAAATTAGTTATAAAAGAATAAAGAAATCAATAAGATAAGGATATCACATTAATGAAAAAAGTTATTAAATTCCTGCCCTTTTTGATATTCTTTGACAATTAGTATTTCCTTCCTTGTGAGATAGTATAAATTCTAAGCAAATTTTCAAAGGAATTAAATAATAAAATATGTTTTGAGGGAAATAAAGAGAGAAGAAGAAAAAGAAAGAGAGAAAGAAGAGAGACTGAGACAAAGAATGAAGAAAGTAAAGGAGAAAGTAAAAAAATAAATGAATAAATAAAAAGAGGCATCTTTCAAAGAGCTTCCAGGACTTGAATTAAGTATGGCATTAATTCTTTTTCTCCCAAGTCTTAGTCTTGGCAGGTTCTTACAAAAATGCAGGAATTTCATGAATGTGGGAACTGGTGATGGAAAATGCATTACTACACACAATTGTTGTACTTGAGAGGGGCTATATGGGGAAAAATAACATCCTAGAATAAACACAAATGAAATTCATGTATCAAAACCAATACTGTGAAAATAGTTTAAATGTTTCTTGAATTTATATCTAGTCATTAACCTAAATGCAGATTTTAGTTCAAGCTACACTTCTGCCTCATGGTCAGAAGGCCTGAAAACCTGTGGTGTGGAAAATTGGCAGGATAAAGAATATTGAATTGGTCTCCATGAAAATCTGATTTTGGCAGCCATAAGCTCCCCATTGAGTGCCCCCTCCCCCAATCAAATTTTTCTTCCTATTTCACTCTTGTTCCAGGAATGAGGCCAATGCAACGGTATAGCTAGAATAGCAAGCAGATGTCAACCTAACAATTCACCATAGGACCTTTCTCATTGGCCTTGAATCTAATGGCCAGAGTGAGCCCCACCCCCCTCCACAAAAACCCAACCCTAGACTCAACCTCTGAGAGCACAGAGGTTGGAGGTTTCCATTTCTTCTGATTTTGGTTTCCTTCTTCTTTAAAGAAGAAAGTGGAGTGAGCCATCTGCCTTACCTGATAACCCTAAAAGAAATTGCAATTCCCAAGTGAAAAAGGTTAATTTATTTGAAGAAATCCAAAAAAATCGATTCCTCTCTTTCACTCTTACTCCTGTTTTAATCTCACCTTCTGTCTGGTTACCTCAAGGAAAGTGGACATTTCCTCAGAGTTTTATTTAGTCTAGAGGACAAAATCCAGCGACTTCTCCCAAATCATTTCTCCACCTGGGAAGATCCTAATGGCCCACCTCACCCCTGGGGCCCACTTCACTCTCTCCTGGGCTAATTATAAACCCAGGTTTCATTAAGCAACCCAGTGTTGGTGGAGGATATTTTCCTTCCATCCTCATTTCCAACATCCCCCAACCCCCATGGCTTCTGGGAAATGTTCACCAGGCCCCTTATGGTAGGTTCCAGGGCCTTTGCATGAGTCAGTTGGGGTGAGAAGTTTTTCCCTCCAGTGAATATTGTATTTGTGTGCTGTGCCTGTGCTTCTCTCAGTGGTTTCACCCTGATCTTTTCTCTCTTTGCAGCTGGTAAATAATCCACTAGCAAGTCAGGCTGCAGCGGCTGCAGCAGCAGCAGCCATGGGCTCCATAGCAAGCTCACAGGCCTTTGGCAATGCCCTCTCCAGTCTTCAGGGGGTCGCGGGTCAACTAGTTACTAATGCACAAGGACAGGTGAGTGGGAGATGGGAACAAGAGTGAATTTTTATGACAGATTGAACTCAAAAAGGAAATTAATTTCTTTTGCATGACAGTGATATGTAACCATATCTATTCAAGGCAAATAAATAATGTTTACTAGCAATGTCAAGAATAGGAGGAGGGTTGGGAGGTTTTTCTTTATTTTAGAAGGAAGATTTTTTTCCTTCCCCCTAGAATGTCTGTCATATTTTGTTTTCATTTCTATGACTTACGTTATGACCTTAAATGAAGAAATTACTTTTCATGACATGGCATTCTTTTCTTAAAAAAAATAGATAAATTTTAAAAATAAAATTTTGGTTTTGCTTTTTTATTTTTTCATTCTTTTTGAACTTGGGTAATTGGGAAAATTGGTAAGTTTCTTTCTCTAATTGCCCTAAGATTTTTAATTTAATAAATTGGTTTTGTAAGCCAATTTCTGAATGTTTGGGAGGTGATGGGAAAAGACTGAAGAAGCTGTGTAAAAATATCAAAGAAAAAGGGTGAGTTAGAACAAAGCCCACTGCAAGTCAGCTGCACGTGCCAGCACTCTTGCTGATTCTCATGGAAGCTCAGCAGACTCTTGTATGCTTATAGGTTTCCTTCAGTCTGCCAGTGGAGCAAACCTTCCTCATGTCCTGAGCAGTAGTCCTGTTCCTTTACACTGCTAATGTGCCAGCAAGATGTGGTCACAGCTAATGTGGTCACCAAGGAAGATACTGATGGAACTTAACATAAGAGTTGCTCCATCTTCAAGACCCCAATTAATGTAAAAGCTGCTTGAAAAGCAAACTAGAGTTGAAGCTGATGGTGTCCAGGTGCCCTCCATTCGAAGGCCTAACAATCTCAAATGTTGCTATTTCTGATGATGAAACACAAAGGAGAAGGAGCTTGCGCCCTCTCCAAGATTTTTCCTCCCAGAGTTATTTACCCAACAGTGAGTTTACGAATCCCTACTTGGCCTGCTCTGTGGAGAACCAGAATTACAATATCTCAAACACTGCTTTTATTTTACATAAAGAGTAAACAGAGATGCATTATAAGCTAACCCATCTCTATTTGCGCCCCAGGAAAAAAGCTGACCTTGTTATATTTCCTGGGAGGGTGCAGGATTGTCCCGTCAGAATCCTGAGGGCTGAAAGATAGAGCTTGTCAAAGAACGGCCCCAGGTAATGAATCATCTTATCACAGGTGCACACCACACATATTAAAGGAGGATTGTATGAACACTGTGCCCTCCACAGTCACCTTTCAATGTCGGCTTTAACCGGTGTTCCAATCCCTTTTCATCAAAGTATCATTTTATGCAGCAGCTCTAAATGGGGGCTCTCAAAAGCCTATTAAGATTTCTGGAGGGATGGGTATTGGTGTGGAGGAAAAGTTAGTTATAGTATCTATAACTCATTCTCAGATCAGGTCAGTCCTAGAAACTGTTTCCTAGAGCTGTGACCAAAATAGAACACCCCAGTTTATTCCTGCCAAGCCATTGGCCCTGGAGAGGTAAATTTTAAGAGTGCAAGATAGAAACCCTATCCACTGATGTGTATTTCCCTATGATTTTTCTGTTCCAGTGTCCAAGTAAAATGTACCACTATGTACCACCACTTGAGAATTTGTGATGGAGAAAATGTTTTAGTTTTTAGAAGGAATTATTAGAGTTTGTTCTTCTGATAATTTAATGGCTGATCATTTTGCCAGTTACAAACCCATCCCCTTATCCAGGGCAAGAATTTCAACCTTTGCTTTGTTTGGCCACTGCCTGCTTCCATCTCTCCCAGCCCATAATTACCCATAAAGAAATGAACTTCAAAGTAGAAACTTGATTGGTACTTTGCATATAGTGAATAAGCATTGATATTATTTACTTTATTTTATTTTATAAACTGTCTTATGATAGTTGATTTTATATGGTACACAACCTCCTGAAGTGGGGAAGAAAAAAAACATTTACAGAGAAATCAATATTGCCCACTCATGAAATCTTGTCTGAGAGTTTTAGAAATGTGCCCAATGGCATCTAATTTCTTCCCAGTACCAGAAGAGACCAAGATACTCACAGTTCCAAAGTAGATGAATTGGCCACATTCATGTACCACTATATTTTTTAAAATCTTTGTAATAGAAACACAATCATCTTCCCAGAAAAAGGTGCATGCCTGAATCTTTTTGTCACAAAGATACTTGTCCAGGTCTTACGAAGTGGTCAAATTATACCAAAAATAAGGGCAAAAATTATTTGCTGTGTGTGTGTTCTTTTGGCTTGTATTAATGTGGTACAAAAAGTAAAAATATATTGTAATCAGGTTAATACAATTAGCCTTGCTCAAAATACTGCATAACATAGGATTACTATACCCAGTCCATTTTCAATTCCTTAAAAATCTCCAAAGAGCTTTCCCAGAAAAGGTACAAAATGAGAACTCTTAATACATTTAGAGATTCTTTTCTCGTAAGTTTTTGACATTAACTGTTTTCCATATTTGAAAATGCACCCAGAAATAATAACATTAAAATCTAAATGTACACTTGAAGAGCATGTTTTACTCCACTGATAATTTGGTGAGGTCAGCCTATAGAGAAGCCATCTCCACTGCTAAAAGTCTTTTGGCTACCTGGACACCAAGGTGGAAGTATCCAATAACTAAGAGCCCTGACTAAATTCAGACTTGCCTAGGATTAGGTGTAGGCTTCACCTTTTTCTAGCTGTATGACCTTGAGACAATGATTTAACCTTCCTAAACCAGAGCTTCATCCTCAAACTTCTAAGGCAACCTCTATGAGGCAGCCTGGGCCAGTGGCTTGTGCTCACTGGGCAAGCCTCCCAGTGAGCAGATGACTCTCTTCACAGGGAGACTTGCTCAAATCTCCCTTCAGGCTTTTGGCCTTCGACTCTCAACAAGAAATCCCATCACCTGGGACTTGTAGTTTTGCTTTATTGTTTGGAATATGACTATGTTTCCATTTATTAGATCTGAGTAAATTTAAAAGGATGGCAAATCTCAATTTATTTAAGGATTTTTGTTTTATGCCCCCCCAATCAATAATTATGAGCAAAAATGAAGAAAAAACTGCAGTCATTTTTATACCTTTCTTACCCTGCGACTCATTTGCAGTTAATTCAAAAGTCAAACACTGTTCTACAGAGTGATTAATTTTAACATAAATACTAAATTCTAAAGCCACTAAGTATATATATTACCATGTTAAGGTATTCTAAAATTATAGTCAACTTCACTCTGAGGTGGGAAGGTAGCAAGCTTCCTATTGGTAATTAGTGATCATGAATTTTATAATGACTATTACAGTGCTGAGAAGAATGTCTAGCTCTTACCAAATTAGGAACCCATGCAAGTGTAGAAGCTAGGCAATGCAATGAGCACTAGCAATAGACTTGTTTGAATTCCCAAGTCAGGTAATAACTAGCTCTGTGACTTTAAGCAAATTACTTGAGCTCGCTGAGCTTCAATTTCACTATAAAATAAGGATAATAAAATCTAAATCCCTAGATTACTAAGATTAAATGAGATTTGTGAAAAAAAGCCTACCGTAGTGCCTGTGCATAAAGACTCAGTAAGGGGTTGCCATCATCATCATCATCATCATCATAGTTTAGAGCTTTGTCTAGCATTTTCTGGAATCCTATATTTGAAGATATAACAAGAAGCAGTACAGTGTACAGGAAAAAAATATGGAGTTTGAAATAAGACTGCCATTCATCAGCTGTGGGACCTTGGGCAATAGACCTCAATTAATCTGAAAAATGGGGATAATAATGTCACCAGCTTCTAGGATTAAAAATGCTTAGAAAGGAGTCAGGCATAGAGTGATAGCATTCAGTAATGCTATCACTCAGTAATGCTATCACTCAGTAAATGTTATGATATTAATAATCAAGATGCTATGTGGTTTTAATCCATAACTGTGTGCACACACCCACTTTATGTGTGAGGAGTTTGAGAATGTGAGAATCTTAGTAATAGGACATTAAGTTATTTTAGGGACACTCATCCTTACTTTGGATAGTTCAGTGTGTGTGTGTGTGTGTGTGTGTGTGTGTGTGTGTGTGTGTTCATAATACTCATTCAGTAGGTATGTTTAGGATTTGGCAAGTAGATTTACCATCGATTTGTTCATCTATAGAATTGGCTTCCCTTGTGTCCCTGGCAATATCTCTTTATTGGCACTATTGCAGAAAAATAAAAGCAAATGAAATTTTATTTTATCCTGGGGCTAAAGAAAGACTTTTAACTGAAGTTCAGAATGTTTCTTGATGAAATTAGCTTTTGACTACTGTGAAATTTTCTTAAGTGGCACCAAGTAAAGTCCAAGACCCCACTTAGGTCTTGAAAGAGCCAGTCAAGTAAAAAAAAAAAAAAAAAAAATCAGCTAAACAATGTGTTTTTGTTTTTTTAATATAGAAAAAGAAGAAACAAATTAAAAGGACCCATTCAAGTTGCCCACAAATACACACACCATTTTATGAATAAACAGTGGCTGAGCAAAGCTGGTATGGAGAGGGGAAAAGATTTGCTGTAGGACAGGAGTTGCCCCCTAAAAGGAGCACAAAGCCCTGATTAATGAAAAACATTCTGTTGATACTAACAGAAGCCTAAGCCTTGTGGGTTAGAGGATACACCCTGGATTATACAAAACCAGCCATGGTGAGTCACCTCTGTTCAACACTCTGAGCTGGATAGGGGTGGATGGAGATGCAAGAACACCACCAGCACCATGTTTGTACACACCAGCTGGAAGACCATTCTAATATTATAACTTTCAAGTGTGGTGAAAAGTATATGTCTTAGAATGGAAGAAACATGATGCTTACATTGGGATGTTTCTCTGAATAATAATAATAATAAGCTAAATGATATCTCTAGAAGGTAATAGAATAAGTTAGAGCATAGCTTTGAAGGAAACAGGTCTGATTGGAACACATGTCTAGCTCTCTGGCCTTGGATGCGTTATAGAACTCTTCTAGGCCTCTGTTTCCT